CTTGATTCAAAACTCTTTACAATCAAGGGCAGGTTCTGCGTACTGTATAGTGCAGTAGGTCTTTGGTCTGTTTAAATTCACACCCAGTCAATCGGTTATTACAGCATCTCTTTAACAAATCAAAGGCAAAGAAAAAAAAAACAAAAAACTTGAGCTGAATCGTTCCAGACCCTTCGCAGAAACATAAAATCAGTGCAGTGAGGAAAACGGCTAAATCGAGGTCCGTGTTAAGTGCCAATGTGCGCCTGTTTTTCATCATCTGTAATCTTAGCATACTGAGTAAAAATGAACATAGAGCTGCATCAAAAAAAAAAAAAAAAAATCCACAGACACGTTGGTAGTGAGAGTTCAGCTCACACATAAAAAGCAGACTGTGGAATGAAATACGTGCAAGAGAACAATTTGGACTGTCAGAGTTGATTCCTGGTCTTATGACAGAGAGATTAAGCTGTGGAGTGGTTCGAGGATAATTGTTGCCTCTGCTGCTTGGTGTGTGACGCCCACCCAGACATTATCCTTAACGTATAATATAACGCTTTGCCCCTATTATCATGGTCAATATCACGGTGGTCACACCTTCGACGTGTTGCACTGGCACTTCTGTCTGTCTGCTCCTTTGTCTTGTTGTCTAACTCAGTGGAGGTGTGTGTCCTGACGTGCTCGCTCAATACCACGTCTTAATGTGTCACTGCGTCGCATGTGCTCTATCAACAACCTGGAAGTAGATGGGTGACTACACACACACACACACACACACACACACACACACACACACACACACACAAGGAAAACACCATTTCAACAACACAGCTACCGTACAGAAATCTGGACATCGACAATGTGAAAACAAACACAACCATGTGTATGTGTGTGTGTGTGTGTGTGTGTGTTTTCCTCTTGTCATTACACCAAAATGAAGGAGGGTTAAAACGTTCTTGTGAAAATGTGCACACCAACTAAACATGAACCTTTAACAGTACAGGAGAGACACTGGACGCCTCATCCATCAACACACACTCACAATGTATGTGAATGAGAGCGCACACACACACACACACACACACACACACACACACACAGATTTACAAGCTCCAGGTGTTATCAGTCTATGATGATGTGACTTTACACACAGTCACATGTGTACAGTTAAACCCTGGGGAGCCCTGAACAGGGGGGGGGGGGGTAACTCTGTCCAAAATGGCAATGACCTGATGTTGAGACACAGATCTTCACTCTGAGTGTGTTTAATATCTGTACAGTATATTTAGACCCTTTAGCCCAGTTTATCTTCCAGACCAGCAGCAACGCCAATACAATACGGCTTTTCGTTGCCTCACACAACAAATCTGCTCAAAGCAAAATGTCATTTAGCAAAACATTTTAATCCTCGAAGCAGTTTATAAGAGGGCAACTGCTGGTTGTGCGTGGAGTCGTGTGTTTATCTTATACTGTTTACAGTAGTCGGAAAAACACACATCCATCAAATTCACCAACTGAAGCGAGTAACCCAAATATTATTTGTTTCTCTGTCTAGAATCACAGTAAAACTGATGTGAAAAATAAGCTAAATTCCAGAGAAGCGTACAGCGAGACGGTGCAATGTACCTATTCTCCACCATGGGATTAAATGATCCTGCTCTCTCTCCAAAAAACCTGAACCCTGTTTCGGATCCGACCGAACAATCTGAGCCTCTCCCCTGAGAATTTCCTTTGATTCTTATCCTGACGTCTGGCATCAACACCGGGCATCAAACCCGAATACCAACCGACCCGGCTCTCTCTTCCTTCGGCAACAGAAAAACAGCAGGTCTGTTTTCACAGCCCGGCTCTCCTGCAGTCCCTCCTGCCTGCCAAGTCACACAACGACTTCCTCCAACTCATCAGCTCTCTGTTATTCAAGCAAAAAAATCATCCCTTACACAGGCTTCCAGTATGTTATTCCTATGATTTAGAACCATTTATTTTAGATTTGTGAACATGAACGTATCTCCCCAGTAGATGTAAACACTGGAGTTAAGAATGTAACCTTATTTGACGCAGCTGCTTCTTTATAAATAATAAAAAGATGCAGAGAAAACCCTGAATAATTGTTGGGTATATCCACATGTGCATCGTGTTTACTTGAGAGTAAAAGCTTAAATGAACAGAGAAATTTTAGAATTAATTCTCTTTTGGTTTTGAAGTCTAGACACTCAGGCCTCATTGTGGGTGAAGTGCTGACTCAAACAGTTAAACTCCATCCATACTAATCCCCACTGCCTTTAAGTGAATGCTGTAAAACAAAAGCTATTTCATGATATTACCTTATTTCAAAAATACAAGAACGTTGGCGTCACACTTTCCACTCCGCCTGTTGAATTAACAGCAATTCAACAAAGTGGCTTGTTCGAAAGGTTGTGGTGGTAATTAAAAAAAAAAAAGAAGCAATTAAAGTAACAGACTGGGATTACTTTGCTCTGTTGATGTTTCAACAAAGAGACAATATATCAGTCAAGTATGGGATGAGCCACACGACCGACAGGATACAAGGAACTCGGCGATAAGCTCGGGGGGGGGGGGGGCTTTAGGTTAAAGAGTGGTCACGTCACCTGAGGAAACGGAGCGCAGTCTGGCAGAGACGTGACCTTCGGTTAATGGCAGAGCTGCTGTTTTTACTGTGCGATTACACAATTTAAAGGGGAGAGGGCAGGAGAGGGATGGCTGATGTTTTCTAATTGCTGCACAGTCGGGAGCTGATTGTTTTTTCGCAGCTAATCCGTTGTTGTTGTTGTTGTTGTGGAAAAGACTCTTTTCTGTTTCCCTGCTATTTGTACAAGCGAGAAACGAAACACAGCGTCTCTCATTTGATGTTTACTTCAATATTCATCATTTCCACTTTTGTCGAAGCTCTACGATTAATCTCATTTCTCTCTGGGAAACTTTCAGGCAAGTTTAGAATTAACTATATTTTTATATGCCACATGGAAAATTGTGGAATTACATATTATCATAATAAAACATTATTAAGATTGATTTGTGTCTCTTGACAGCTTTAATATTTGAAATGTAAAATTTTACGTTAAGTATAAATAAGCAACTACAATACTGAAGACTCCTTGGCTCCATATAGAAACTGGATGACCGGACATGACAAACAAACATAAATTTGCAGTATGTCGTAAAAGCCGCTCTGCTCTTGTCTAAGGTTGAAGGAATCATGTGTTTTAATATAATTTCCTCTGCTGCTTCTGTGTTTTGCCTCCACGATAGCTGCATTAATAAAGGCCACATGTGGCGCCACTCAAATCACATCCAGAGCATCACCCTCGCAGACAAATATTTACCTGTGATTTTCTGTCTCCGCCTCTATATTCTCAGCTCTGCAAGCACAGAATTAACAAGTCATGACAGTTATGTCAACAGATACGCAATACCACCCGTGAGCAGGAATCAGATTCAGACCACATGCAATGCAAAACACCAAGCTTTACTGTGCTATAACTACATACTAGTCTACATGCAACCAGCCAGAGCCCATGACAACACTGCTGACCACCTGCAGCTGATGGGACATTGTTCAATACTGTGACAGTCATTTAGAAAACTCTGTAAAAACATCTTCCCATCTGAGTAAGTTTAGCCAAACTCAAAAGGAAAAATATTGCAAGTGAAAGGTAAAAGAAGAGAGAGACTCTTTGAGGCCGTGGTTGAGATGTGATGAATCAAATTAATGGATAAACAGACAAGTTTTTACAGTTCGTCCACGAATGCCTGCATCGAATGTCACAGTAATTCTTCCCTTAGTTGTCGAGATAGACTAGATGAAAGCTAGATGAAATGTCAGCGAGAAACGTCAGTAAGATTCATCAGCTGGGAACGATGAATGTCTCTACGAAGTTTGGTGTCAACCCATCGAGTAGATGTTGAGACATTTCACTGAATAAGTGAAGAATCTGACCTGGTGGTCGTGCTGAGGAGAGAGTCAGGGGTTATTAAAGTTCATCCTGAGGGGAGCATGAATATTTGCAGCAAACTCCTTTTTACTCTAAACCACAAAACGTCATCCCTCGTGGTGGTGAGAGAGGAAGAGTCAGCAGGGTTCATCCTCTGGGAACCATGAATGTCTGTTCAAAGTTTAATGTCAATCCATCTGATCTATTGAGATATTTAATAAACTCTATATATGGACCAAAGTAGTGGATGGACCGATCGACATCTCTAACATCGCTAAAAGCTAAATAAGTAAAATAGAATAAAACAAGTATCTCAAAAACCAGCGAACTGAGTGAAAGAATACACTACAATTATTTGTCAATAGTGTGATGTCATTTATGATCACAGATGCATCAGGGAGGCATCCTGCTAACCTCAGGGGACTAAGATGATAACCATGCAAGTGCAACATCCCTGGTTTGAGTCTGAGTGTTCAGTCCCTTCTTTCTCTCTTCCTCCTTATTTATTGTCGGCTCTCGACTGTACTCTTCCTAATCCATCAAGCAAGTGTGATAAAAACCCATGCACAAGAGGCTTGTTCACTGCAGACATCTCAAAAACACAGGAACAGCTGAAAAATAAAGCCATTCTCTCCTCTAATAACAGTGACATCCTACCTGACCCCTATAGAGCTCACAGAAAGGTGCTCAGGAAAAAAAAAACAAAAACACAATGGCTCTGTCCGGGGCTGGGCATGCAGTCCGAGGTCAGATAGGAACAATAGGAGCCATCCAGCAAAAGCCACGCAGATCTGTTTACAGCCACAGACAGACGGCAGCTGGCAGACTCGCCCTGGCACACACGATGCCACACCGACTCCACATGAAAGCAGGGGGAGTGCTTTTGTTCTGGGATTCCCCCTTTTAACCCTTTCACGAAGCTGAGACACGACACTATCATTTCCACCAGACCTCAGACAGGCCTCCTCTAGTCTGTCTCCCTCCCACGTCCCGCCCTCCCCTGCTGACTACCCTACCCTACCCCCCCCCTGGGGGCACAGACACACGGGGACCTCGACAGGTACTCACAGCTTCGGTTTGGGCTTGGTCGGCAGCGGAGGGCCGTCCCTCGCGGGGGATGGAGACACCTTGCCTGGGGTCGGAGGTGAGTCTGGTGCCACCTGAGCTGGACTTTGGGCTGTGACTGGAACATCTGCCATAGAGTCAAACTGTGGCAGGGGTGGAGGTGGAGGTGGGGGTGGTGGCGTGATGTCTTTAGGTGGGCTTGGAGGTGACGGTGGATTCGGGGGTTGGCCGTTCTGTATAGACTCTTTCTCCTTGTCCTTGTCCTCCACCTCTGAGCCTATCTGTAATGCAGGCAGGGTGGACACACTGGGCCAGATCTCCAGCTCCTTGATATGGAAAGCCTCGGTGCCGGGATGAGGCAGCGTCTTGGGTGGCAGCTCCAGGAGGCTGATCTCTGTGGGTGGGGGAGGAGGGGGGAAGGCGGCCGTATCCTCAAACCCTGAGCTATCACCAGACATGCCATTACTGGATGAGTCCTCGGTCGCTGAGGGAAACAAACACGAGGAAAGTGGAAAATTTTGGACTTTAATGTTACGTTTTTCTTCTGGCCACTGCATAGCTCAGTAGATAAAGATCACACACACACACACGACTGTGTCACAGCTGATGTGATCTAAAGCAGCAGCTGGATCCAGTCAAGCTGATGCAATTCCTGTTTATTCAGCCTTTCCTTTAACCACATGGTGAATCCTGTGCTGTACATACACAGTCCTGTCTGTGAGAGCGCACACACACACACACACACACACACACACACACACACACACACACACACACACACACACTCACACCTCTCACCTTTGTCCCGTTCAGACTTCACAATAACAAGCAGGACAAACGTCGATCGTCTTGTTGAGACATAACAAATGACTTTCACCACTGATTATAAACCACAGGACTTCAGTGGAGCGACTGGATAATGACCAAACCCTGATTCATTTGAATTTACATTTCATTTTGTTTAATCTTACAACGACTCATCTTTTGATAACAACATCTTCTCACAGTCAAGGGTGTTAAAAATAATTTCTTAAAAATGGTGGAGATGGAACTTATAGAGACTCTACTGTGTGTAAAGACAATATAAATGACAGAGTATATTTTAAAGCAGATACGTCTGCATCAATGCACAATTGGGAACATTACCAATAGTTTTTGAAGCCTCACGTTGGTTTATCCTTGTTACCAGCATCTGTTAGTCTGTTAGCCTACAGCAGATCAAACTGAGGTGAGGTAAACTCCCTTATAAACCATAATGTTATCTTAATGGAACAATAGTTTACAAAACCACGCTCGGAAAAAAACAATTTTTTGAAGCAGTTTCCCTGGTGACTTAAATGAATCTTTTTTACAGAATAAACAGAAATTGCATCTTAAGGAACGTCCACATTGGCTTCATCTCACCTGCAGTGACAGTGAGTTGGGCGGTGCTGTTTATGGAGCCATACAGGTTGGACGCCGTGCAGCAGAACAGACCTCCGTCCTCTGGAAAGGCCTCGGCTATCACCAGGGTGCAGATCTCTTCTAAAATAAAAAAAACAAAAAAACAACCACAATTAATTACATGATTAATAACCGAACCGTTTATGATCCTAGCTCTGTGGTCTGAAGTCGGCCACGATGATGGGTGTAATTAAAAAACACAACACTGAGTGGAGTGACATGTTGATACTCGATTTGTTTGTAATGAGATGTAATAGAGACATTAGATGGACGGGAAGATGAGTTATGTTCATAGTAGACAGATGATGGACATTTCATGTAGACCGGTGAGTCACTATTCATACTCAGACACACAGAGAGAGCAGAGAGAAGAACAGACAGACACATAAACACTGAAGCACAGATGTTCACGGACGTCTGAGTGACTCACAGACTGAGAGCAACACCTGAAACGCCCCCTGACTCACACAGGTGGGAAATGTGTGTGTGTGTCACTATTTACCCATGATTTTGTGTGTGTGTGAGTTTCTCAGACTTTCACAGGGACTCCCTCTGACTGTAATGGATGTGATAATAAGTGTGAGACACAGATTTAACCAAGTGAAAGGCCGATAATGAAACCATCAAACTCAACTGGAGTCTGCAGACAAAGCTAATAATCCATTACTACTTTAAACCACTGACTGCTGTTGGGAAGATGAAAGCAGTGTTGTAATTGACAGAGTCATATAATGTTAGACCCTGAAGGAGTTGAGGTCACATACTGTACCTGGCTCAGCTGCAGATCGAGGCTCTGATTCAGAGCGTTGACAGGCAGACGGGAAGAGAGGAACACAGAAATATTTTGGTTATTAGCAAGTATGGATTGTAAATGTTGTGCTTAAAGTGAAAAAATCACTCAGAAGAAATGTCTCACTTTTCTGGAGAATACGAAAATCAGGTGAGTCCAGGATCTCCTCTCCCTGGCGGGACCATCGGACCTGCAGAGGAGGGCCACCGCGCACCCTGCACTCCAGAACCACCACTTGGCCCTCGGACGCCTGGGCATCCTGCAAGAGCTACACAAAACCAGGATTAATAAGCCAGAGAGGAGTAAAAAAAAATGAAAAAATAAAAAAAAAGGAAGGGAGCGGTAATGAGAAAAAGGAGTGAGTCAGTGAAGAAAGACGGGGGGAAAAAGAAGAAAGTGAAACTGGAAATGAAAAGAATAAATCTACTTCAGAAGAGACAGATGGAGATGGACACAGATGGAGACAGATGGAGACAGATGGAGACAGAAGGAGGGCTGGAGATGACATGAGATGTCACGATTTGAGCGTTCAGCGAACTCCACTAAAAAGTCACTTTATTTCACCACATTAGATATAAAACGACCATCGGTTTGTTCACCTTAAACTCTCAATAACAGAGTCACAAAAACACTTTCCTCAAACACCCTGACGTCCTCTGACATTTTATTGGATCTTTCTGTTTTTGGGAATCACACGATCCAAAAATAGTCAAAAATCTGACTGTTGACACTGTCCATTTGTTTTAACTTTAGCCTAAACTTTGCATCTGTCTTGGTCCAAATAGCTGTCACTTAATGCTGACAACTTACAAAACACACCCCTAAGTTTACTTTGTCAAAATATTGTATTCCAAGATTAAATCGTTTCTTAAATATTTGGAAAATGATGAACTGAAAGAGCCAGTTATATTTGACAGGTTGTCAAATACACTTTTTATCATCATTGACATTGAATACCTGCCTTTTGGAAGTCAATGAAAGAGGAGCTCTGACCTTCTGGTTCTGGGAAAGTATGTGTGTAATGATTTACTTGGTAAATACTCAAGTTTAAAGGTCACTTATTATATAAAGGTCTCTGTCCATGTGTTGTTTGATTATAGATCAGGTCTAGCTTCTATATTAATACTGTGAAAGTATCAAAGCCTCAGTCCACAGAGAAATGCACACAGCCTGTATTCAGAAACTGAGCCTTAAAACCAGCCGTCAGGACTTCTGGAACTTTGTGATGTCACAACAAAGCAGTCACCAAGCCCCGCCCACCTGGACCCACCATCCAAACCTTTACAGGATTTGGTTTCTCTGAGTGTTTTACCTAAAATATGCTATATTTATGTCAGATCACTCATAAAACAGCCAATCAGAAGAGAGGCTCAGAGCCTCCTCTCCTCTGATTGGCTCACCGACCTGTTGTTACTAGAGCTCCAGAGAGAAGCCTGAGAGAGGAGATGTAAAACTACACTGAGATGGTTTTTGGTTCTTAAAGACCACAAGTATATCTTCTTATGGATCAACACTTCAAATAAAACACAGAAGAAGAAAATATGGGTCATTTAAGCTAGCTTAAGATAGCAGTTAGCTTTCAGTATAAGGAGGACTGTCAACTACGATTAGACTGTAAGCTTTTCATTATCACTTATACTCTTATTTGCTATAGTTCAAATGTGTAAAAAATAATGGATTTCTTTTAACCTCAGAATCACATCTTCCTTACAGATGACAGTTAACTCCTGTCTCCAGTCAGTCACATGACAGTTTACGGTTTTACAGGACTAAAAAAACATCCACATGGGGGTCAGTGTCAACACGGTGTTGTGTCTCCTTCCAGCCAACAGGGCCGGAGTGACATAGAGTGGTACATCCATCAACAGGAGGCACTCAGTGTCAGTGTAAATAGATGTGCGTGTGAGCCTCTCTCTCTCTCTGTGTGTGACTGTGTGTGTTTGGCATGGGTATATTTTGGGAGGACAAAGGGCGGGATGTACATCATGGGGCCGACAGGGTATCTGTGTGGGTGTGTTAAATGGGTGACATCACGGCGCTGACTTCACTAGAGGCGAACATCCTCTCTCATTGAGATGATTAAAGCCTGTGACAGTTTTTCTTTTAAAGGAGATGGGTGGGGGGGGTTGAGGAGGAGGGGGGGAGTGAAGAAAAACAAATGTCTTTTTGTAATGAAGTGGAAAATGATTTAGGGCCTGACTGGCTGAATGAGAGTGAAAGAGACCTGACCCTTGTGGGTTTGGCAGGGCTGTTTGAAGCTCTGCCTCGGCCCGTCTCAGACCCGCCATCACAAGACCCACAGCCTGAGGGAGAGGGAGCTGGGGCCTGTCGGGGGAGTGTTGAAGCGTCTGAGTTGGAGAAGGGTGATCTGGAGCTGGAGGAGGAGCTCCCATCAAAGCTTTTGTTTTATCTGACCCCCACCGCTGAAAGCCACAGCACTGCATACTGCTATTATGGTAAGGCACGGAGTCTGAGTACATGTGTATCAGGTTCTGTGTATGTATGCCTGTATGTATTGCATGCATGATGTATTGTATGTTTTTCATGGTTTGGGCTTTAGTCCCTTTGGTTTCTTTTTAAAGGAAATCTTAACGCTGCAGCATACAAACTTATTTTAGACGATGGCATGCGTCTAATGTTTTGCAGCAGTGTGAGATAGGCCCCCTCCGCTTCACCAGACTTGGAAAACTAAGATCTGAAACTCTGAGGATGAACTGAAAGCCAGGTCTTATCGCCCCGCATCAGTGTTCAGCCTCACTGATGCGTTTGAGGTCGAATGGGAGAAAATCTTTGCAGCCAGGTTTCAAACTCTTGTGGAAAAACTTCACCAGAAGAGTGGACGCTGTTAGCAGCATATTAATGACCATGTTTTTTTTTGGGTATGTGCATAATGTTTGGGTGTTCATTTACATTTCATCATGTAGTATTTGTATATGTTGTGTACGCGGACTTACCTTAGTGAATACAGGGGGGCCCGACGCCTCACTGGCGTACAGTGACGACACCGGGCTCTGCATCTAGAAAACGACACAAACTTAGTTTCCGAAAAGGTGGAGACCATTCAGAAATGTGTCTGCGTATGAGCCTGTGTTGCTGTGTGTGCTGTGGATGGCTTACCCTCTGTGGGGGCTGAGACAGAGCCTGAACCAGGGTGGAGCGGTGAGGAAGGACCTCCGTGGTTTTGGGTGATGAAGAGCGTATTGTTAGGGACATTGAAGTAGTCTTCTTCTGCACTCTGAAATAAGCAAAGCATAAATCAGCACACAAATGAGAAAATTTTTCCTCGACTCTATATGCTTTTATTTATAACATGATACTTGAATCAAAGCAAACTGTCTCCCTGGTAATTAAGATGATATCAGTATTCCTGGCCTCAGTGTAAACAGAAAGGGAATCAGGAAGTAGTTCAGATGGAGGCAGATTTATACAGCAGATAATAATCAAAAATATTTAGAGAGCTAGAAAGCACTCCACTCCAGTACTGTCAGTTTGAGTGCACCATCCAAAAAATGCATTATTTTAGTAATTGAAAATTTTAAATATGTATAAATATATATATATATTTTGATCCAGACCCTGCACAAAAATAACCACACATATAGTGACAGACAACTGTGTGCTGGATTTGTTCAGTCTTGTAAGTGCTATTTAAAAAAAAAAAATACTTATGACAATGAACTTTTTGACTAAATTATCAAGTTAATATTATTTTTACATTTAAAGCAGAAGAAAACGATTCAAGAGAAAAGAAAAATAAACAAATAAAAGAAGAGAGTGAAAGTGAACAAGGGGTAAAAGGTTTGTAAATAAGTCAGCTTATAGGGGGAAAACCTGACGGGGAATTTTCTTTTAAACCTCTGAACCTCTCATTATTTAAAATTGTGGCCTGGGTATGTGGTCAGGATTATGGCTCTTTAGGGCCCCTTTAAGGGCCTAGTTAAATAGCAGGCAGCAGACCTGATAAGCTGCTGTGGGGCTCAGTTAACCTGTTCAGGGGTTCAAGGTTCACTGGGTCACGGGTTCACAAGAGGTCAAGCAGAGACACGTACTGAGGCATGGTTCCTGATCTGGATTTTGCTCCTTCTCCGTCCGAGTCTGATGATGAAGCTCCTGATGGAACATAAATAGAAGCACCAATGATTATTCACACATGACACAGGATGTTTTTTCAACAGTAAATATTTCAGCAATTAGCAAATTCCCAGGAAATTTGTTCTGCATTTTAAAATCTCCTAAATGTAAACCAACATGATGACTGTACTTCTCATAAATCCTGTACAAAAAGGACATTGCTTCTCATCTTTTTATCCTATAACACTGAAAGCTCAGTTGTGTGAGAAGAATAGCATCCTTGTTTTGTGCCATAAAGCAATATTTTCTTTTTGCTATTAAGCACTGTAGAAGACTAACCACCATGGAATCCCCTATACAAACACACTCGAGGCTTCTCATAAGTACAGATGTCTCAAAAGTAAAAATTCCCTGATGTGAAAATGACACATTTCATGACTGACCTTCAATGTAAACCTCAGCAGAGGTATTGTCTGCTCCGAGACTGTTGGACGCCACGCAGGTGTAACGTCCCGTATCGTCCTCAAAGGCTTCGGCGATCACCAGCGTGTGCAGGTCACCGTCCCTCCAGATCTGTATGTCAGGAGAGCTGTGCAGCTCACGGCCTTCACAGAACCACCTGGGGGAGGAGGTGAAACACAAGTGTGGTTACTTCAACATGCTGCTGCCAATCAGAACAACTGTGAACAATAAAATCTAAAAACTAGAGTTGAGCTTTAAGGAGTTTGATGAACATAGAGACTAAAATCATCCTTTTCTACCCTGTAGATTATTTAAACTGGTGCTCTAAGCTAACAGCACTGTGCTGAGTGATAAAGACAACTAGCATCATTTAAAGTAGGAAAACTGACTTTTAAACTCATAGAAAAATATAGTACAATAAGACTAAGAGTCTACAACTATGCAAGTGGATCTGCGAGGCTGCACATGGGCACAGCTGTGGGTTGAATGCTAACGTCAATTAGCATGCTACAAGAATGGTAGCGTGGTGATGTGTAGCAGCTGTAACGTTTACCATGTTCATTATCTTAGTTTAGTGTGTTAGCATGCTAACATTTGCTAACTAGTATTTAACACAAAGTGCAGCTGAGGATGATGGGAATGTCGTTTGTTTTGCAGGTATATAAACTGAAAATTTAGTTATCACTGTCCATCTTTTGAGAACCAGTAAGGGGAAAAATAAGAGAATCAGTTGAATTTATCCTGGAGGGACTCTGAAAATATGAAGCTAATTTTCATGACAACCCATCAAATAGTTTATATAATAGGCCATGAATGTTTTTAGGGTAATTCATCCAATAGTTTTGAGTTATTTCAGTCTGGATCAAAGTGGTGAATCATCCAACCTCCAAACCCTCCCTTACCCAAAGATATACATTTTAATTTTGTGGTAAATGATTAAAGCGGTCTGCTTGTAAGTTCACAGTGAGTCGCTATGAGAAAGTGACGAGACGGGCCGGGGCTGGTTAGCATGCTAACTTCAGTAGAGGAAAAGACGTGATAGAGACAAGACTTAACACAAGTTTTATGCTGAACTAAAAATGTTTCTTAGAGACTGGTAAGTAAACAGCTGTTAATGCTAATGTTAGCTATGTAGCTATAGCAAATTTCTGGTGACTTGCAGCAGTGCATGGTTTAGACAGTACAAAGAAAATTATGATTTATTTATATGTGGGTGGTTGTGGGCTTTAGTCCTGCCAATTTATTATGCTTGTGAATTTCATTGAGATCAAGATTTGCAGCGACACTGGAAGCCACAACTTTTAAAAGCGTCTTTTATTTATTCCGCTTCTTGCCATAAGAAATAAATATTGCAGTAAAGGAAAAGATCGCATGCAACAGGAATCATGAATCATAACTTTTGTTCAATAAAATCTTATCTTACAGGCAGAGGCCATCACTCTTCTTGACAAATACTTGAACTTAAATATACCTTTTCCAAATATGATGGAGGCCTGCCAGTCTAACTCACTTCAGTAACTACTCATTCACACACTCACACACACCCTCTGGGCACGTCTGAGTTTCCATATCTGCCAGATATCAGCCACCCCGGGGCACTGACGAGACGTCGTGTTACGGGAAGCAGATACACCCTTTCCCCCTCCCTCCAGGCGGAGTCGTGTGTGTCTGCTAACAAAGCCGGCGTGAGCAGACCACCACCTCCCTGGGGTCTGCGAACACAAGCTTTGTTCCCTGATCTGGGACCCAGGAGAGATGAGAGAGAGTCTTCAGCACAGCCAGCGTGGTCTGTCTCATCTCTCTTCACAGTGTTATGATTAAAGCAGGACCCCACCCCAAAGCCCCCACCTTCCCTCACCCCCCCGCCAGCACATCTAATACAGGATCACACAGGGTTCACATCACACATCTACAAACACACACGAGTAAACTGCTTTTATCAGTCCAAATGTCCTCTCTCTTCATCGTGACGTATCGAGACAAGATACCCCCGCTCCACCGGCACACCGTGCAGCCTATCAGCACCTTATTAAAAGAAAGGTCGTGCATGTCTTGTTCACTTCTTGACCTCTGCACTGACTGACAGGAGGAGGGACAGGAATTCCCAAAAATGCCGGAAGAACAGCTGTTCTGTCCGTCCGGAGCGCTGACCTGCCAGAGGACGTCCAACTATCTTGGAGAGCTGTGTAAAAATTCCCGACATCCTGCTGCACGGCCATTACTGGATTTTACACACTCTGGGGTGTCAGTCAAACAGCAGGCCGACTCCTGTTCCAGAAAGCAATCCGTCAGCCAAAATATTCAGACAACAATTCATACCGGAGGATTTACACCTGACAGAGTGGGTGTGAGACCGGCGAGCGAGACTGAGAGAGAGTGAATGAATGAATGGCAAGTGCAGGAAGAGGAGGTGAATGAGCGTGAGTCAGGCCGGGTCAGACAGGAAAAATTAAACGCTCTGTCATTACTGAGACGGATCACACTGAGCCATTCATCAGTAGCAGTGACAGGTGGAGAAGTGCAGGGCCTCATCACTCTGTTTCTGCTTTCTCTGCCCCAAATACAACAACAACGAACGAACGGCTCCTCGGGGCAGCTCCTCCGTCTTATCGCTGGACGAGGGGAAACAAAGGAAGGACTTGGCTGGCTCTATCACGCAGCCAGACGCCAGTGTGTTAAATGATAGGAAACAGATCGCGACGTGAGACTAATGAAGAGCTGTTTGTGGCACGAGCAGGGAGACCTTATCCGCCGGCGTGTTAGCCCTCGAGGCAGCGGAGGCCAAGAGTCATCTGCCACGCTTCAGACACCGCCGGCAGCTGTCGGTGCATCAAACACATGAACCAGACGGAGAAAGGCCGGGACAACACGGGGATCATGTGTGACTCGACTTCGTTACACGACACAGGCCGAAATTCTTTGATACGAAGCTGACAGAGAGTTCAAAAAAATGTGATTGTTTGAGCAAACCAATATGTCTGTGTGGTTTTGAAATCCATTTTTCCAGATTATAACCAGGCAGCGAAAAGGGAAAACAACTCGTTTGGGTGGCTGCCATGTCTGCTGTGGATTTGCTTGGGAAACTCAGGTTTCTTTTGTTGGTTAAATCTCACTACTTTCTTTCACCGAATAAATCAAAACGGTTCACTCCGGACTTTGCAGCCATATCCTCCAAGTTTGATGTGGACCGCACAAAACGAATCTGCTTCAATATGGCAAAATCACATGGACAGTTTCTGAGCGCCGTTAAATTAAACGCACGCAGGAAAGGGATTAATGCAACACATGACATCATTAAACTAATGACTATGGTTTCTGAGATGGGGGTGGGGGGTGGGGGGGTGTTAAGGCTGTTGGTGTATATACTGTGTGTTTTGTGTATGTATGTGTAGCTATAGTGGGCAGAGGCCAGCAAACAGCAGGGGGACATGTTTTCCACAGGGTGGTCTGAATGTGTCCGGATCTCAAGAGCAGCAACACGTGTGAAGTAAAATGCAAAAATATAATTCAAGCGTTTATCAGAGGAGTTTTTTTCTTTAGTAAATGTCTTCAGTAGTTTTCCATTCTGGTTATGGCACAAAGGTCTACCAGGCTCCCCTTGCTGAATTTAAAACACAGACCATCTGCTCGGTAGGAGTAAAGGAATGGAAATGTAAATTTGTTTGGGCACAATTTGACAAAACACAGAGCAGAGAGCGCAAGACTCATCAGCTCGTGCTCCTCTGAGGGTTAACTGAGCATGAACTAGGAAGCACAAACCATTCCCAACGAGCACAACAATAAAAACCCCTTATTAATCAACCTTAATGATCTACCATTATGCATAATTACTGAGTAAACTCATTCAGAGACAGACGGTAATGTTTATTCAATCCCCTCTCTATTTCTGTGGAATGTGCTGAACATGGTGTTAGGCCTAAACAGCGCGGAGTGTTTTCTCCAGCGGGGACTCTGTTGAGTCACACACAGCCGAGGAGGCACAGGAGGAATTCAACCGTCAATTGGCTCGTTTGCAGGGGAAGCAGGGCGTGTTGGAAAAGCAGTCCCTGGGTGTTCTGAGAGAACCGAGCGAAGGTAGAAATTTTTTTGGCAGAACGTAGCTCTACCACCCATTTCCTCTTAAAACAATGCCATTATAAAACACAACTATTCAGAGCATGCATACCAAATAGCTGGAAGTCAATAGGCTTTGTGAGCAACGACCTCACCTCTTCACTCATCTCCCACCCAAGGGGCATCCGGCCAAGATGGTGACTACACATCCCACCACCACCATCGCCCGGCCCTGTCAGCAGCTCTCTGAGTAAAGAGAGCATGCGAGGAGGCAGTTATACACTTTCTCGCTTTAAGACAATTGAGGCCAGATGACGCCACCGGTTATCATCGGGAGGACGATCTGCTCGCTACGCTAACCTCTCCACAATACAGAAGGAGGGAGCGTTCCACAGGACAGGCCAAACCAGAGCCTGCTGCCCTGGCCTCCGCCGTGCGTGCTGAGGGCCACACTCTCCTTGTCTGACCCTGTTGTTATTTGCTGCTGTTGATGGAAAATTTTATGAAGCTCGGCTCAGTTTCACCACAAACCCAAACGGGTGGAAGCCAGAGCGCAGGGGGAAGAGAAAAAGAAAGGAGGAGGGTTTGATCGCAGAAAAAAAAAAAATGACCTTGACAGGATGTAGGAGTGACAAGCTCGCAGAAACACACCCACAAGCCAATCAACAATCACTATACAAGACACCGGGAGACTGGACGTATGCTTCATATGCAGACATGTTTGTCTTTGATTTGACTCCAAAGTTTGCTCTGTGTTCAGCTTTGAGCCACAGAAGTCAACCAAAGTGCAACTGGACAAGAAGAGCGGCATAAAGGCTGTCTTTATCCCTAATTACAAACTACAATAGAGGTCAACTGCAACTGCCCAAGCTCTATAGCGAGCCATGTCGGTTTTATTATCCACAACAGAGAAATCTCCTAATTCACGCAAACACAAGATGGAAAGCAGACTGGGTTTCCTCTTTCCCACAGACACTGACTGGAACCAACAACCAATGCAGCTCTAAGAGGCTCAGTCAAAGGTCTGAAAGCTCAACCTCACTAAAGCTGCAAAATATTTATTCCCACCACAGCCCTCCTTATTACTGTAATTTTCCGTAATAC